TTGATGGGATTGTCTGCAATGATCTTCTTCTTCTTGGCAGCAGTCTCCAGCTGCTTCACCTCATGTTGGGTGTTGACCTCCCCACTCTGTCCCTCTGTGATGTAGAGCTCAGTATAGATGTTGTTGAGGAGGGTTCTACTTCCTGGATCATCTGCTCCTTCAGTCACATGTTCACATCTCTGCCTCAGACTGAGCTTATGTTCTTCTACAACCTTCTGCAGACCAATGTCCACTGAAAGACAAAAAGAAAAGTATTTCCAACAACAACAGAAATAAAACTGTTTTTGAAAGTCTGCAGTGAAAAATCTGGTGTTGTTCTGCTTCATTTCTGTCATCAGAACTTCAGAAAATAAAGATCTGGCTCTTAGTTTGTCCTGACCTCTTAAAACCCCATTGAATTATGGGAAAGCCTTGGTATTTTAAAGCAGACACAGATCAGTTTCAATGGTTTCTCCTCAGTAACACAGGATCATTCAGTGTTGAACACATCCTGTTATTTATCTGCTTGACAAAATATTTTTGAGAAGAAGTGGAAAAGAACCCTGACAGGAAACTGTAAATATCAGTGGCTGCACAGAACCGTTTAAACTCATCCAGCTGCAGAATGTAGTAAAGACCCAGGTGAACAAGTCAAGAGCTCTACAAGTCACAGGAAGCTCACAAACAGTTCCAGTGTGTCTGAAAAGAAGATGGAAATGAACATCTACAAACCTGAAGGCTGTGAGAGTCCAGCCTGAAGTGTGGAGCTGATGTTTGCTCTGCTTCTTTCTTCTTGGTCCATTAAGCTCTCCTGCTCCCCCACTCTTCTAAGAAACACATTCACATGAATCAGTGTCATGACAATAACCTCGTCTCCTCTAGTTTGTCTCCAGGGGACACCAGGAGATGGACAGTCTGGACCAAAGTGTCTTACTGTGTGTCTGTAGGTCCTGGTTCAGGACTGAGCTCTGGAGGGCGACCCTTGGACCATTCAGTCTTTACAGACTGACAGCTGGGTCCTGGAGACTCTGCTCTCAGTCTTTTGTTCCGATGTCTACAAACAGAGACTTGTTTATATTAGTTGTAAATAGAATTCATAGTTAGTTACCAAAGTGTGTTAAACCAAAGTGTGGTGAACCAGAAACTGTTATCTAAGTGTGGTAAATAATGTTCTGCTTGACCGAAGTAGGTAAATAAAGGATGAGGTCTGTTTCTCATCAAGTATGGGAATCAGATGAACTTTGCCCTGGGAGTAAAACTTAACCAAAAAAACAACTGCCCAGTACTTGTGAAACGTTCTCAATAAAAGGAGCTGCAGTCCTCATACACTTTGGGACTTAGGTGAGCCAACTCTGCGAAGCTGTTGGTCTCTCTGCTCCCCCTCGCAGCGAGTAAAAAGTACAACGTTGTCAGGGGTGGTTCTTTTCAGGTAATTCTATCTGCGGCAGTTAGATGACAACAGTGGTGAGTGAAAAACGTAATTTTTGGCACCAACATTAGTGCTGGTCAACGTTAACATTTATAAAGGAGAATAACCCCATGACAACAATGACAACAATAATGATTTTAATAACAATTATTATTAATATGGTTGCCATAATGTCATTTTTTACAAACCCACACTGAGTACTATAGTGATTTACTTTAGGTTTGGTTTCAATAAATATACAATGAACAGGAAGACAGTGTTATATAGATGGAAAAGCTCTGTGGGAAATGGACTGATGTGCAGTGTGTGTGTGTGAGTTCAACCCAATCCACAGTGAGGAAAGCATCTGACGTGGTGTAACACCATCAAGCTACTACTTTCTTTTTAACACATTATATTTTGACGGTTGAGGATTGAATAGTTTTGCTGTGTTATAATGTTCTGCGTTTTGTGCACTGTGTTCTTTTCCATAAGGTTAAAGCCGACCGCCTAATAGAAGGACCCGAAGCTAAAAAAAAAGTGTGATCACTTGATGTCATCTGTTCATGTGCTTTAGTATTTTTAAAATATATTTTTAAAAATCGTTTGTTTAACGATACATGTGTATATGTTTGTAATTTTAATACGATTAATGGTACTTATCGAGGAAATCAGTCCAGTAAAATAAGGACTTTTAATAAGTACGCAAACCAGTTTCCGCTGAA